ACGCTTAAGCTAATTATCTCATCCAATGCTCCGCAGGCATGGGAAGGCACGTTGATCGCCTGAAATCGGCCCAGAGCTGCCTGTTCACCATCTGCTGTATATTACTGCTCAGCTAAGTGAAATTGCATAGCTGCGTATCTATTTTATGTTTTTCCAGCATTTATTTATTCAGCGATGTGTTCATTTGCACTATATACTCATTCCTTACTATTTCGATATTTTGAAGAAAAAGCTGAGATTATTTCAAAAACTGTAAATCATTTACTGTGTAGAACATCTAGATCATTCTTTTTCTTCTAGCGATCAGCACATGTCATTTTCAAATCTTTTTCTCAGGCTCTTGTCAATGTATCAATGTACATGAGTTCCAACTGCGATTACCCAACTAAAGCGGTCTAGAATTTCTTATTCCGGTTCCCTATGCCTGTGTGGCAAGTGCGAAAACCTATGTGTGTCCATTATCTTATCACTATGTTAAATGTATTCACCAGGGAAGTGACAGTGTGTCACCTTTCACATCTCCACATCTTTTAAAAGTCATCTTAATCTGTTGTGGAGAAAACGACCTTAACCTTTCCAAGGTAGTAACAACCCGGCCCACACTCTGTGTGCGGAACCCTGCAGAGCGTTTAACAAGTTGTTCCACTTCATTCAGACAGCCAGCCTGTGGGGCACTGAGATGCTTCTGTCTGTTTTACTGGGAAGAGTAAGGTTTCTTTTGAGGTAAGCTTGCCTGATAAAGGGCATGCAGGAGAGAAGCAGTCTCTGAGGTGAGAGAGAGATGCAAACAGTCTCACCCACTGTTGAGCTCTGGAGAACAGGATTTTAGGCCTGGAAAAGTGATGGTTATGATCAAATAGCCAACTCCAGCCACATAAGTCTAGGAGATGGATAATACATTGTTGCATAAAGGGATAACTAGCCACTTGGGTCATCCATCTCATACCTGAGATTGCTTCCGTTGAGTCCATTGAGCCTGCCCTGGAACCCTGTACATGATGGCACAACTCTTTAGGTCACTGTTACCCCTGAGAAAGATTCAGATGGAATTACAGGCTTCCAGCTTCATGCCAGGGCCTCTCATGGCTTGTTGCAGGTGTTTGGGGAAATGTATGGACAGGTGAGAGAGATGTCTTTCCTCTCTCTCTCTGTATCACTTTACCTATCAAATAAACAAAACTAAACCTGAAAAACAAACTTTTAAAACTACCAGAAATATATAGAACATTAAAACAAGTAGTCTTTGAAATACAAATATTTTGAGTACATTTTCATTTTTTTTTTCACTTAAATAGATCTCTGGACCAACCAAAGTGGCCCTGCTGTCATGCATGGTAGACTAATTAATGCTGTAAATCAGGTTAAGGGGATTGTTTGTCACAATGAATTGACGAAAGCAAATTTCATATTCCATGCAATGAGGGTGTGAAGAAGGAAGAGTTAATGAATAAACTGGTGGCTAGCTAATGGATTCATGAGATCAAGGCTTATTACGTGTTGTCTGTTTACAGCCCGTTTTTAAAGGTGCAGGGTTGGCAGGCAGTTACCTCACTGGAATCTCTCGTTGCTATTCCTGGTCACGTAGGAAGAATGGAGAGCCTGACAATGATGGACAGTGCAGCAGCAGCCTGGCTGCGTGGAAATTAATCTGAAGTCCTTTCCTAGAGAACTGCTACCTCCTGTTTCTACACAGAAACTTGATTGTGCTAATAATGTGTGTCCAACTCCTGAGATAAACTACAGGGCAGCATCCGAGAATTTTCAGATAAATATTTGGCAGAAAATAATAAAGAAGATGTTTCTAAAGTAAATGTCTATCTTAGTCCTGGCTGCTATAACATCAGCATAGACCAGTGGTGGATTAGAGCAGAGAGAGGAACAGAAGTTCTATGGCCTCCTTTCATAGGGAACTAATCCCAAGCAGGATTGATCCAGCCCCACCTCGTAAGTACCCTGGATGAATGCGGGAAGACACAAACATTCATAATCATGTTGATATCTTCTTATCTGGCTATTCATGAACATTCTATGTTGTGCATGCAGATTAAAACCATCAGCTTCAAACCATAAAGAGCAATGCAATAAGACATACATACTTCATACTAAGTAGAGTTCCTTGTGTGTCTACTATTAAAATTAAGAGTAGCCCTATTAATACAATGACAAATATTTCTTAAAACTGCTCTACTAATACTAAATTAATAAAGATTTAAAGATAGGGTTGTAGTTATTGGGTTCTTAGTATATTTCAAATAGTATCATGTATGTTTGTGGTTTTATTATTTAATCTTTACAATAACCTTACTAATTTTAGTATTAATAATTTTTCATGTTCATAATCAAATGTTTGTTTTTAAAAAAATCCCCATGCTGGCTTTTTAGGAGAGGGTATATTTAGCAGTTTCATTAGGATTACTAACAATCATCAATATTTTAACATTTTAATTCAATTTTTACCTGTGAATAACCAAGTCTTCCGAAAGATTGAATAGATTAGTAAAGATTATCTTCAAAGTTCATACATTTAATCTCTATACTCTATTTCTCCTTTTCTACATTGGGAATTCAATGACAGCAAAAAGATAGAGAATAAACATCAGTAGTAGACACTTAGTATTAACACTGTATGTGCAAGGAATGCTTTAATTTCTAGATGTTTGTAATACTTGCTATACATGTATGTTTACAAACAGTAACATATTCTACTTTCATAAGTATATATCATGGATATATAATAAAATATTGATAGTCCACATAATTTAATAAATTGGTAAACTTTCGATAAGATATCCTTGTGTAGCAATAATCATTCTGATCAGCAGCATTCTACACTTGAACCAAATGGCCTCAGGACTTCCTCCAGGCTTAGACTGGCTAGGTCTAGGGTTTTACTCCTATCATAATGAACTCCATTTTCTAAAAGGAAAGGAATACAAAATCAGAATAAGACTGAGATCATTTATCAGTGTGTTATGAGAAACTTTAAATCATGACAATACTCTGCCTACAACTCAACGATTTTCATGATCTCATCTCCGTATATTTCCAAAAGAAATCAAATCAGTTTAACAGGAAAATAACATATGTTAATGATATGTAGTCAAGCATAACAGGGAGATTAACTATAGTGTCACCTGAATGTGGAGGACCTTCATCATAAACTTATTTCACTGACTCAGAATTTATGGGGGATCAAGCTTTTCAAAGGTTCAACATTAAACCATTTCTTAAAAGAGGTATGTATATATTCTTTGATTCTTTCGTAGAATGTTCCTTCTATGCCTATGTTGCTTATGATATTTTTTAGCATAAAGAGGTGTTAAATTGTATTGAATGCCTTATCTGCCTCTACTGATAAGATCATATGATTTTTTTAATTCTTCAATTTCTTGATGTGGTGCATCACATTTATTGATTAGCATATGTTAAACCATTTCTGCATACCAGGTATGAATCCCACCTGGCCTGGGTGAATGATCTGTCTAGTGTATTGTCGGATTCTGTTGGCTAGTGTTTTTTTTTTTTATAAAGATTTATTTATTTTATTGGAAAATCAGATTATAGAGAGAAGGAAAGACAGAGAGGAAGGTTTTACAGCTGCTGGTTCACTCTCTATGTAGCTGCAAGAGCCAGAGATGAGTCCATCTGAACCCAGGAGCCAGAAGCTTTTTCCAGGTCTCCCACATGGTAGCAGGGACTCAAGGCTTTGGGCCATCCTCTGCTGCTTTCCCAAGCCAAAAGCAGGGACCTGGATGGGAAGCAAATTTACTAGGATTATAACCAGCACCCATATGGGATCCTAGCATGTGAAAGGTAAGGACTTCAGCCATTAGGCAATTGTGCTGGGATAGTATTTTATTGAGGATGTATATGTTCATCAGGAATATGAATTTGTAGTTCTCTTTCTCTGTTTTCTCTATCTGCCTTTGCTATTAAGATGATGCTGACTTCATAGAGTTTGAAAGGATTGCTTCCCTTTCTAATGTTTTCAATAGTGTTTGGAGAATTGCAATGTTTAGTAAAATTCACAGTGAAGCAATCCAGACTTGGGCTTTTCTTTGTTGGGAAGGATTTTTATTATTGATTGAATCTCAGCCCTGGTTCCATGTCTATTTAGATTTTAATTACATCATGATTCAATTTTGGTGAATTGTTTGTGTTCAAAAAAATCTATCCAGTTTTTTTTCTAGGTCTTCCAATGTGTTGGAGTATAGTGGCTTGTATTAGATCCTGATGATCGTATATGTCTTAGCTATTCATTGCTGTAATTCCTTTTCTGTCTCTGATTCTACTTATTCATATCTTCTTCCTCCTTGTTTTGATTAGCTGAGCTAATGGGGAATCTACTTTGTTGATTTTCTTAAAGAACCAGCTCTTAGATCCACTGATCTTATTACTATTTATTTGGACACATTGCCAGCACCATACTACGTGGGGAAAGACTGGAAGCTCTTCCCCTTAAATTTGAAAATGAACAATGATGCCCCGTTTCACCATTGCTATTCAATATAGTATTAAAAATCTTTACTAGAGCCATTATGCAAGAGCAACAAATTAAATGAATTCAAATCAGAAATGAGGAAATAAAATTAACCCTGTTCACAAACAAAATGATTCTATATGTAGGAGAAACCAAAGACTTGATCAAGAGACTACTGGAACTCATAAGACAGTTTGGCAGGATAGCAGGATACAAACTAATGGAAATAACTTGATGGCTCTAGTATACACACATAACTCCATGACTGAGAAAGAACTCATAAGTACAGTCCCCTTTAAATTACTGTAAAAGAAACATGAAACCTAACCAAAGATATGGAATACTTCTATGATAAAAATTACAAATTTTTTTTTTTTAAAAAAACAGGAGGCATTAAAAGATGGAGAAATTCATCATGCTCCTGGATTGGTAGAATCAACATAATCAAAATGTCCGTATTACTGAAAGTCATAAATAGATTCAATGTGATCCCAAAAACATTCTTTCAGAAGTAGAAGACATAAAAATTCATCTGACAACAAAAGAGACCACGAATAGGCAAAGCTATCCTGAAGAATAAAAATCAAGCTGGAGGACTCACAATTACAAGCTTCAAGACATACTACAGGGCAGTGGTCATCAAAACAAGCTGGTACTGGTGCTGAAATAGGGAAGATCAATGACTCAAACTAGAAACCTAGAAGGAATTCTACCTATGTAAAGTCAACTAATCTTTACAAGAAAACAGAAAACATTCCAGGGACAAAGTTTGGTCTCTTCAACAAATGCTGTTGGGACTATTGGATAGCAGTCTGCAAATGTAAGAAGAAAGACCTCTACCTGTCATTTTATACCAAAAAGATCAGCTCGAAATGAATCAAGGGCATAAATCTGCACCCACCCAGAAACCAGCAAGCTTTTAGAGCAAAACACAGGAAGCACTCTATAAGGTACAGGCATTGGTAAAGAAATCTTAAGAAAGTCAAAGCCAAAGTAAACAAATGGGACTACATCAAACTAAGGAGCTTCTTTACCACAAAGGAAATGATCAACAAAGTGAAGAAGCAGAAAACAGAATGGGAGCAAATCTTTGCTTACTGATTTCCAGGACTTGGAAAGGATAAGATAAGCTTATTAGTATCCAGTATTTACAAAGAGCTTAAGAGAATCCATTTCAGCAAAATAAACAACCCTGTGCAGAAGTGGGTGAAGGAAACATGCAGGCATTTTTCAAAAGAACATATGCAAATGGCTAACAGACATATGAAAAATTCTCAGGCTCCCTAGCTATTTGGGAAATACAAATAAAACTATGTTGAGGTTCTACCTAACTCCTGTGAGACTGATCTACATTCAGAAATCTACTGACAACATCTGCTGGCATAGATGGTAACCTACTGCACTGTTGGTGGGAGTGTAGGTTAGTACAACCACTACGGAATTCAGTATGGAGAGAGTTAAGACAACTGAAAACTGATCTACCATATGACTCAGTTAACTCCTTCTGAGTGATAATTTGCAAAGGATTTTAAATCTGTATCTGAGAAAACAACTTGCAGCTTATTTATAGTTGCACCATCCACATTAGCAAAGACATGGAACCAACCCAGATGCCTGCTGAAAGAGGAATGGATAAAGAAACTGGTACACCTACTCTATGGATTACTACTCAACCATTAAAGAGAACTAAATTCTAACATTTGCAACAAAATGGTCCCAACTGGACAACATTATACTCAGTGAAATAAGCCAATCCCAAAAGGACAAATATCATACATTCTCTCTGATATAAGGCAACCTTCATACAAAATAAAAGATAAATTTATACACACACGTATATACATATAATCTCATAGATGAGTTGTATAATGGAGACTAGTTACTGGATAGTGAAAATACATTGCAGTATGCATTTCTGCTGCTATAAATAAAAGGACTCCCAAAGAAACTGTTAAAAATACCTTGACAATAGGCAACTAGACAATCTCTATAGTGTTTATACTTACAATGGCATAAATTCACTTAAATAGCAGAATGTTTGAATTGCGACTATTGTTGAAGGACTACAGTACTGTAATAATATGGGGAAAATGGGAAGGGGAAATTGGGAGTGGTTGGAGGGAGAGAATTCTTTGCCTAGCTAACTGCAATTTGAAAAATAATTTAAAAAGTTTAAAAAAGAATGTGATACGTATACACATGCATTCTTAGGGATTTTTGTGTGTATAAAGAGTATATGTTGATTCATGCCTGTCTTACACATCTTCTATGTTTAGGAAAGAAAATAACTGTAGTTACTTAAGAAATAGAAATGATCTGAGATTCTCCTAAATGAATAAAGACACTAGAGACTTACGCTACTTATATTCCTCCTATTGCACATTTCACTCTTAGAAAGTCTATGAAATACTGACAAATTTGGGAATTTATTGACCACAACTGGAGATATCTGGGAAGTTACTGACTTTTTAAAAAATAACATTTATTTATTTCTTTTAAACTCAGAGTTACAGATAAAGACATAAGTACTGAGAGAAAGGGAGAGAGAAAAAAGGAGAGGAAGAGAGAGAATCTTATACTCCCTTAATCATCCCCAAGTTGCCATAGTTTCCATGCCTGGGCCATGCTGAAGCAAGCAGCTTGAGCTTTGATCCGAGTCTACTTATGTGGATGGCAGGAACCCAAATGTCTGCATCATTTTTGCCTGACAGATCTCATTAGGAGGGAAACCAATGGGAAGTGAACATCTGGAACTCTAACTGATGCTCATATGGAATGCCAAGTCACCTGAGGAGGCTTAACCCACTGCGCCCCAACATGAGTTCTTGGAAAATGTTGCATTGTGAAAGAATGCCAGTTTCTATATATATGCAGATGAATGTCACTTTTGTTTAAGTGAATGTAATTAAAAATAACACCCAGCACCAAAAAGAAATAGGCCAGACAGGAGTAGTATATTTTATTCATCTATTCCTATAAACATTGGCATTTCAGACTAAATAAGCAATAAGAGAGACAGGGGTACATACAGATATTTAACTACAGTAAGGTTATACCTGACACTAGTTGCTGAACCACGTTACATGATTAAGCTTAAGGTAGCTTTCCTTACTCATTTATTCACTTTGTGGACTTGTACAGAATTGTTTTACTTGTGACTCAACCTCTCTTGAGAGAGGGAAAATGTTGCGTTCATATTTAGGCTTGTTGCAAAGATGAAGCCAGTTGATACTTGTAAATCTCTCAAACATTTTTAATAGGAGCAAGTTACATACACATATTAAGTATTCTAAAAATTTGTCAGAAATTCCCATTCTTCCTTGTTACTTAAAAAATTTTTTTATTACAAAGTCAAAGAGAAAGATCCTCCATCTGCAGGTTCACTCCCTAGCTGGCTGCGATGGCCAGAGTCAATCTGAAGCCAGGAGCCAGGAGCTCCTTCCAGGTCTCCCCTGTGGGGTCAGGGTCCCAAGGCTTTGGGTCATCCACTAACTGCTTTCCCTGACCACAGGCAGGGAGCTGGAAGGGAAGTGGAGCATCCAAGATACTAACTGGTGCTCACATAGGATGCTGGGCATATGCAAGGCAAGAACTTTAGTCACTAGGCTATGTGCCAGGGCTATTACTTAAAATCTTACAAGTAAATAACATTAGCAACACTGATCAGGAAATCAGGAATCATGGGAATCTTCTTTTGCAAAACTACTTAGGGTGCAATGTGTTTATTCCCAGAATTCCTCATGCAAAGCTGGAGGGAGGCCTGGCTTATTTTTTCCAATGAATTCTGAGAATTTGGAGAGCTGCATTATAGTGTTTCAGAAACTGTTATTATGAACATAAATCTAATAAATTCCTGAGAACCCTGGCCCAGGAAAGTGACAAAATAGGTAAATTTTGTTTTCAGAAATCATAGATGATAGCACTCTGTACTTCTTCACTCAGGGTTAGCTCCACATTCCCGGGGCCACGACGCTGCTGAATTCTCCATGCAGTGCCGCCCAGATGTACGCTCCCGACGCCTTCACCTGACCCTGCTCTGCTAAACGCATGACTGAGACAGCTCTTCATCCTCAATCCCATTATCCGAGGCAAAACACAATCCAAGTTCAAGATGATTTCTTAGCATGAAGTCCTTTCATTTTCCATAAATACTTATAAAGCCATCACAATTTTACACAGAGAATACATGTCTAATGCTTATCCCAGAAACAACAACAACAATAACAACAACAAAACCCAACTTTGATAGTGGGAAGGGTAGAAGTGGATGGTCAACAGGTGATTTTCATCCAATCACATCACTCGCTCTGCACTGATGGCTTCTGTAAAATCAGCAACCTGCTCCCTGACAAACATTATGGCATAATAACTAAAATAAGAGTTAATGTTTGTACTTATTGTATTGTAGGTGCTGTTCTATATTTCAGTCTCACAATCATTTCTTGAGAAAATGGAAGTAGGAGTTACTATTCTGAATAGAGCTGGGGAAATGGAGATGTACACTGCAGATTTTGTCAAAGGCAAACAGCCAATAAATATGGAAGTCAGGAAGCTAATCCGACATATTTGATTTAAAAGCTCTTAACGTATAAGAACAGCATTAATTCTGTTATATCTTTGGGAGAAGTATTTCCCAAAGACATCCAATTCTATCATTCAAAACATGTCCTTTGCACAGGGAATACTAACACAAGATTAAACGGATTCTATTACTATGGAACACAATTCTTCCAGAGCTTTCTGGGGAAGGAGGCAATTTTGTATTATTATGATTATTGAAATGCCAGAAAGTCACATCTACACATAATCATATTTACTCTTTACATGTCCACTTTCTCAAAGTGAAGAAATCATGTTATGCCTCAGGGGCCTCTGTAACTACTTGGCTGTGTGCCTGGGCTATCATTTCTCCAGCTGGGTGTGCAAGACTCTGCCCTGTGTTAAGTTTTCCACATTTCTCTTTGCTGAACACTTAACCCCTTTCCAAACTTCACTTCTACACCGAGGTCTCTTATTAAGAGACTGGGAACAAAACCTTTCTCTCCTTAAAGTCTAAACTTGTTAAGAGAGCTTAGTGCTTACTGATATCATTAGCAATACTTAGGCTCTGAGAGCTGTCCCGATAAAGTACTACAGACCTGGGTGTCTGAAACAAGAGAAATTCATTTCTCCCCCCACAGGGGGTGAAGCTTGGAATTCTCAGCTGCTAATGGAGTTTGCTTCACTGCAGACCGTTCTCCTCGGTTTGCAAGTGACTGATTTCTCACTATTCCCACACATAATCTTTTCTTCTGTGATTATTCACTTCTGATGTCCCTTCCGCTTCTTGCAAGCACACTAGTTTTATTAGGTTAGGGCTGGACTCATGATTTCATGTAGCATTTCTACTCCCTAAAAAGCAGTGATATGTCTGGCCAGAACTGCAACACATGAATGCTTTGATTTTCAAAATCTCGCTTGTTATCATCAACACCATTAGCCTCTTGAAGTAGCTTGCAGAAAAGGTTTGATTTATCTCCCCAACTCTGAAACATTTAGTACATTGTTTGCCAAGTATTAACAGCTACTATTCACTTATACTGTATTCCACATTAAACA